TCAGCATTCTCCTGAGTACGGCTTGAACGATGGTTGTTTCGCCAGGTAGGTTACTGCACTTCGCCTGCTGTGCACGGAGTTGCTCAGCGGTCTTGCTGCTTAATTATGGTGGTGGCTGCTTTCTTGCATGCCTTTCCTGTTAGGTATTGGGGTTGTTTCCTCTGGCAAATCCATGCTGCAGGTACCATTCTGAAAGCGACGTGGTGACTTCCTCTGGTTGTCGACTACTTCTTGTATGGTTTCTTCTTAGGGGTGGGTGAAAACCCGTGCCAGGTTGCGCACACCCTCAACAACATAATCATCATCATCATCATCATTATCGCCATACCTTTCATCCCTTTTTACTATTGGGTACCTTTTTTGGGGGTCCCCATAATAAGGAGTCAGGATTATAGCATTTTGGGGTCTATATCACCATACCTTTCATCCCCGTTTTGGGATCTCTCAAGTAGGTGGCTCTTAGGGACCCCAGTGATGTTATGAGTATGAAGTCGGATTGTAAAGGGCTGGTTTGAGAACCTACCATATGTTCGCAAGCTTGCCTACCAAAGCTGGAGAATCTTCAAACACGCCCCGCCCAGCAAAGCCCACGGACTGCAGGGACGGCACATTCCGTATCAAAGCTTGTCAAACTTATGGTCTTCTGGGAGCACCTGAGCTTCAGGGGCTACATTCAGGGCTACATTGTACCAGGGAACCCAAAATCTTTGTGTTTTTGACAACTTACCATAAACTCCTAGTATCCCCCTTAATAACACATCTAATACTCTCCTACATAAATTATTCCGTATATAACCCCCTTTAAGGAGTTTAGACTATAGCTCATTTGGCAGGCGTGAGAACGCCGCAATGCGGGAAGAGACACCGAGCGGCACATGTTTGCCGTTGCTGAGTTATAGGAATAAGGGAATATAGGGGTATGACATAGGGTTAGACAGGGATAAGGGAAAGGAAAATGGAAACTACCATTTAGGGAACATAGGGGTATATCAGTAAGCCTAAGGTTGTACCCCTCAACTGTTTTCCCAGATACGCGCAACATGGCCCAACATGGTTTCTCAGTTTCACTTGCGGGTTTTGCTTCCAGGCATCTTCCGTCAAAACAACAGCCTCCAGAACTGGGTTGTTGTTAAGGAACTTATTTCAAGTTACTATATTGGGGAAGTCCTATTAACGATTAATTATATCTACCCATTATGGTAACTTATTTCAAGTTCCTTAACAGTGCCAGAAGTGTACTGGAATGATTTTGGTTGGGCAGGATGAGCAATGCTCAGCTAGGCATGCTCGGTTGGGTTTAGGGTTTAGCGTTTAGGTTTAGGGGTTTAGGGCTTAGGGCTTAGGGCTTAGGGTTTAGGGTTTAGGGGTAGTAACTGTGGGAGCCCTCATGCCGAAAGAATGCATCTTTCGAAAAGGTTCCTTCTGACACCTGAAGGATGAAGTCCAGGAGTTCCCTTCCTTCAGTAGATAGAATATGGGCTATATGGGGATCTTATTCTAATATACCCCAAGCCATATTCTATCTACTTAAGGGGGACTGTGACCCTAAACCCTAAACCCTTAAACCCGGAGCCCTAAGGCCTAAACACTAAGCCCTAAACCCTAAACCCTCTTCCTGAATGGAAGTTTCAATTGTCCTTTCCATTATCCCTATATGGGAGTTTCCCAAAATTAGGGCTACCATTTTAGGGTTCCCCAGAACAAGGACTATAGTATTTTGGGGTCTAAAGCGGGGGTCCCCCTATTTGGGGATACTATCATATAACCACAATTCAATAGTATACCTTATTATACTGTAGTAGTTTCCTTTTTCTTTTCATTATCCTTTGTAAGCCTTATATTTTTCCCTTATACAATCCCGAATAGTAGTTTCCAATTCATTTTCCATTATCCGTATACAGCCCTGCTTCATACCTCCATTTTCCTTAAATAGTAGTTTCCATTTTAGTTTCAATTACCCCATTTCATACCCCTATATTCCCTTAATCCTATAACCCCTTGGTCCTTTGCATCTGAGGAATGCTCGCCTGAAGATGATGGGACCTAGAGCCGACTGAGGGCGCAAGCATGCTTGTTCCAGCCTTGGCCGAACAAATCCTCTTCCCCTAATATTAAACCCTAAACCATTCCTAATGCTAAGTATTCCCCATTGTAGTATTACAGTATACTGGGAGTATTCAATATTTATCGGAGGATGATCTTAGGGGAGAGGATGGGGGTATATACGGGACTATTACAGGAGTTATTTAGGGGGATGCAAGGAGTTTAGACCATAGCTCACATGCCAGGGGAGGAGGTTGACATGAAAGGCTTGGGTAGGGAAGAGCTGGAGATGAGGCTGAAGGCAAGATCTCACCGGGGTACCGAGACCCGATGACCATACCGCGGCCGGAGACAGTCAAACTTTTAGGAGGATCTTGCTGATGCAGTTCAGTCAAGACAACGACAAATCCTGTTTGACACGCTCTCCGGCCCTAGTCGCACATGCGATCATCTTTGTTTATGTTTTCACCCATCTTGCTCCCCCACAGCCGGGGACGCTTTGATCCGTGTGCCTGGTGCTGCTTACCAAAGGAAGAACGAACGGAAGCAAAGCAAGCAAGATCACGGCAGTGTAGCCCTCACGCCGAGGTGCCAAACTGCACTCCTGACAGAATGGTAGCTCAAAAGTCAACATTTCAACAGTCAACCCACAAGATGTTGAGTAGTAGTTGGACCATCAGCAGCTGACTGGGCACACATGTTCCGCCTTGCTGCAAAAGCATCGAGGGAGGCTGCGGCCGGATTTTGTCGATGATAAAGGTGTCTTTAAACACTGCGAAGGTTGAGGCATAGTGCTTGGTCTGAATCGGCTGCGCCTTGGAAGTCAGTGCAGCAGTCCTGGCTGCCTGCACTCTGAGACCAAGGCATTCACAGTCGCTGGCCTTTGTGCCGCGCAGCGGAGCAGTGAAGGTTTGACCTCCTGCAATTGTAAAGACAAGCATGGGCTGAAATTTTCAGTATCGACTAGCTCGAAGCTGAGCTGTTAAGGCTTGAGCTTCTTCTGCTCAATATAGTATGCTCGCGAAAGCCTTGGCTTGCGCTTAGCGCTCTGATTCGTCACAGAAACTGACAGAGCAAATCTTGCGCGTGTCACCATCGACACCCTGACCGCGATGCAGCGGACAAAAGCATTGCTGGACCAGCATCCGCCCCTGATCCTTCCATTACAAACCTCGGCTTGTAAGAACGCATTGCCTTCACGTGAGAACTGTAGGAAAGCACTGTCCAAGCACGCTGCAGCCTCCACTGATCAGGGCGCACCCCCTTCAAGCACCTGCCGCGAAATCAGTCCGTACCGTGAGGGCAGCTTTCAAGCGGCAAAGGCCAAGCCTTGCTGCTGTGATCGGTCGCTGCAGGCATCCAAGTAATGTGGTATGGCTACCGAATATATATATATATACCCTAATAATCCCTTTATAATGTAGTAGTTTCCATTCTATTTTGCATTATCCCACTATAGTTAAGAGAATTTGGCCTCCCATTCAGCATAAGAGTAGTGATGCACATCTGTAGGATCTTGCATTTTCCAATGCATGAGGGCACTGTACAGAATTGCCTGGGCCCGCCGAAGAACAGCGGTCCCTTCAGGCCCTCGGCTTCCTGTGCAGGTCATGGAGAGGTTCCCGTAGCAACATACACTGACCGATTCAATTTTTTCGGAGATGCCCAGCAAGGACCCCCAAGTTTGCCAAAGCCCCATGTTCGTGCTCGGAGAAATGACTTTGAGAGATGTACCCCTTAGGCCTTCGGGAAGCCGAGCGAAATTGCAGGAAAGTCTCGCCCAAAGCCGGCGGTGACGACTTCGATTTTAGTAGGGCTCGTCTCTTACGGGACTTCTTTGGAAAAGATCAGCTTGCAGGAGGGATACCAAGGTGTAGGAATGTCTCACACGCTTGTCTGCCCCACACAGGATGACATAGAAGCATTAAGCGAATCTCAAGTTTGGAGGAGGTCAGTAGGACGAGCAGATGACAGAGAAATCGAACCATAAACCCTACACCCTAAACCCTAAATCCTCAATCCTAAACCCCAAACCCTAAACCCTATCAGTGGGAACCGGCCATGTCCGGAACAGACTGTTTTAGCTCAGAGAGACCCAAACGAAGTAGAACTCAATGCAAAAGGTGCCTTAAACAAAAGTCTTGAGGTACTGGTGAGTTGCATTTTACATGGGATACCCCAGACTCCTGATTAACAAGCCCATACCCTTAATAGGGATTATAATCGGGATCCTAGTATTAATACCCTGAAAGGAGTGGGGTTCTTAATCAGGGGTCTACATAATTAGAGTCCCCCATAATGAGCAAGATTATCTTCTCCCTTTGGGTATGTATTTATAAGGAGAAGATAATATTACTTGCAAGAGGAAAGCCACGCCTCTTTGGGGCAACAAGGGCGGGGCCCCCAGCATAGTTGCTTCATCCTTTGGACTTCATGGCGAGGCCATTTGGACCATTGCCTAAACTCCTAGTATCCCCCTTAATAAGCCCTATAGCAGTCCTTAATAGAATCTTTTAGAGAACTGGAACGGCCCTTTAAAGAGTTTGGACTATAGCTCATTTCTCGAAGTAGAGGTCGTCGTTTTCTAGCTCGGTTACTCTTTGCTGACAGGAGTAGTAATCATTAGCAATAGGAATAGGAAGAGTAAGAAGGCCCAACTAGAAGAAGGCACTTTCCAACATGGCAGTTTCCTCCTAGTATTCTCCTGCTAAACAAAGAGGACTTCCATTATGCGAGGTTCCCAAACCCTGAGCACCAGCTAATGCAGTAGTTCCCGTTCTCTTTTCCATTCCTTCATCCGTTTCTAAACAGACCTAAGCCCTAAACCCTAAACCTTTGAAGTCTAAGCCAGATAAACCCCTAAGCCATGAACTGTGTATAACCACCCTTAAGCCCCCCCCAGTACAAAGTAGGCCAATTGAGTACGTAGTATTTTATTTGGGTATACTATGGTACCCAATATAGAGTAAGATTATATCCTCCTTTTGGGTATAGTATTGTCATATAAGCAATATTATCTTGCCGGGTTTAACCGCCAAAAAAAAACACTACTCAATTGAAGTGCAAGCGGCCTGGCCTGAAGCCCTTGGCTCGGGCGCAGCTCGGGTAGGGCCTGGACACCATGGCCGACGAGGCACTGTTTACTGTCCCTGTCCTCTTACTTTGTAAAGGCCTAGGGTTTAAGAGTTTAGGGTTTAGGGCTTGCCCCAGATTGTTATAGGCATCTTCCGCATATTCCAAAATCGGTAGGACATCACGGCCCAGGTTGCGCTTACACTAAGGTATAAGTTGTGGGATCAGCAATTTGGATTTGGGGCTTCTTGGTATTTGAAAATGGATACTCTAGTCTCCAATGTGTTGCTTCTAAAATCATTACGATGAAAGCAACTGGTTTATGGGCTCCTTCGATGTGATTAGACATGCTTTGCAGGCTCCAGTTTTGACAACCACTGTTTCTGAGTAACGGTTTGAAGGCTCCTCCTTGTGGAGTGCCTGGAAGCCTAAGCAGCCTACGCCTGTGCCTGGAAAGTCTACTGCAGTTGCATCTATGTGCTGCAGCACGTGCAAGGGCATGTGACCTATAGTAGAAGGAGAGCTTGGGGCATAAGGCCTGCGGTAGTTTCATCGCAGTCAGATGTTGCAAGTCAGCAAGTCCTGAAGGCTTTGCCAAGCTGTGCCAGAGCGATAAGAAGAAGCTCTTCAGAAGGAGAGGGGATTGCACCGTGTGAGCACCTACTGTAGACCCTCGCGAGGTGGGTCCTGGAAAACCTGTCGGCCTTCCAAAGTGCATTGTTGCCATCTGCTTGGCTTGAAGTGCGCATGATATGATTTGACGGGTGCAGGATCTCCGCCGCAACGCAGGAGAGCATACCGCTATAGAAGGCGCCCGCTTAGGAGCAACAAGGTGGCCTGCAAGTCTACAGCAGGATCGAGGTGTCAGTTCTGGCAGATTAAGAGGTGCGTCATGATAGAGCATTCAGCAGAAACGTCCTGCTGCAACTTTCAAAACATTTGAATTAGCCGTATGGGCCGCTGGAAACGCTAAGCTTCATTCCCCGCAATATGAGCCAACGCGGCACGAGAATGCAGCAGCCAGAGAGTTGGAGCATCAGTATCCTGCTAGGAAGACGCACAAGTACCATAATTTCCACCCACACATTTTTTCCCAGATTCTGTGTTTTTGAGGCTTCAAAGGCAAGAGCCGCTGGCTGACCTGAGTTTGGATCCATGCTGGTAGCTGGTGGCAATCTGTTCAAACACATCTACGAGGTATCTCAAAGCACGTCGAGTTGTGCAGGAAGCTGTGGAAGAAGGAGATTTTTTCACCAACCCACTTCGTAGATACTAGGTGGTGCAAGGTTTCCTCAATCCACGTATGATGTTTTTCTAAACTATTGTCATGAGTCTTTTGGCAGGCTGGCCGTGGCAGTTTTGAGCCTCACACTGTTCCAGGCACGCTCCTGCTTTGTCGCCTTTGCCAGGCCTAGACGTGGAATCCTTAGGTTCTTGTAGCATGGCGAAATACACTTTGGGGTTTCTGAAATTTGGAGACTATGGTGTCCGAGCTAAACACAGATGTTTCCTATTCATGGCGAGCAGACACGGGTAAGCATTGTGTGCGAAGAAGCTTGGCAGAATTTTGGCATATCCTATTCATACATCAGGTCACCGTAAAGTGACCTTCAAAAGCCTAAGCAGGCGGGGAAAAAGCTCCTTGCCCAAGATGCCAGAATCATCCTTGTAAGGACCAGCAGAAGGGGCTGAGTTTGAGCATGCTGTGGACATGCATATAAGTTGTTCTCAAGATTCCAGGCCTCTTTTGGTTATTGCAGCACCTGCAGTAATATTTAGGGATGCCAAAATAGGACCCTAATTTTGGGAACTACTCGTATGACTACAGGCTAAACTAAGTGCATGCGGTGCTTCAGCACAGCATCAAGCCTTCAACCCTCTGAAGACTCGGTGTGCCCTGCCAAAGGTCCACAGACGTGGCGTGGCTAGGTCAGAGGACCTCATTCAAAGAACCGCGCCTCTCAACTTCCAGCATCCTAGAATGTCATCAGACGAAATCTCGCGGTGGTAATCATCGTACGTGGGGACTTGGGCACGACTTCAGTACTTCATTGCCACTCAGGATTCATTGAGGCAGGCAGGGGGTGAGCAACATGCTGGGTTATTGCTAGGGGGAACCGCCGCAAGCTGCAGGACTTCGTAGGCGCAACCGCGCAGCACCCCTCTGCGCGCCTTGCGCACCAGGCACCTGTGCTCCTACTTGAAATCGTTTGATGTGATAGGTTGTCAAACTTATTTTTGATGCCTTTTTCCGTATAAGGGGCCGTATTCTAATAGGAGCCCAACAATTGCGCCATAATCTTGAGAAACCCTCATCTGAGCCATGCGGTTCGTAGACAGGTCCGTTGTTTGTCTAGGGACGCATGTAGCCTGCTCGAGTGACTGTATATACTGCACAGGCTCCGTCAGATTATTCGATCAAATTAATGTCCTGTGCAGGTTCAGGATGTGGAAGCCAAATGCATCAATCTTGTCGGCAGTCTGCAGGTTTTGTGGAATGCTATGAGAAGATGGAAGTGTGAGATCTCAAAGGATCTGTAAGTTTCGGTGTTCGTGGCTCCAAAAGAGTGATCTGTCCTAGCGTTGACGGAAGCGATCATGCACCACCTCAACTGTCCGACTCTACAAAATCATAGGTGTTGTCAGTGGAGAAAGGTTCACCAAGAATTTCTTCACTGATGGGACCTCAGCCAGAAGCTTGCCAGTGGCCAGCAGGGAATGAAGGAATAGTAAGAAGGGTGCCGTCCTCTTTAGGAAATGCCAGAGTGGATTTGTTTACTAGTAGCGAGGCATGAAGGGCCTTGAAAGTTTGAAAGGGTTCACACATCATGATGCGCAGCATACCAGGCTGGCAGCCCGTATCTGCTTTCCTTCCGCCATGGCCATCAGAACTGCTACAGAGACACAGCCTGAACTACCTTGTGCTGCCCTTAAAGCCATGCAAGTGGCGAACCGCAAGCCGGCAAAACTTCGGGAAATTCATGGAACCGCCAGGGTCGCCCAGCTCAGCCACGTGATGGCTCAAAGAGCTCTGAGGCAGCGTCTATTCTTTTGTCTTTGAGCTGCGGCCGGATTCGGTTTACAGTTTAGGTTCATTTGTGGTTTTGGATTTGCGGGAAGGGTCGCTGTCTTGGGCTGCTTGCGACACTTCTCTGCATACCTACCAGAGCTCGTAGTTGAGAAGCCACACCACGTCTGCTTTCGAGGCATCAACTGTAGCTTATGAACCAACTTCTGACAAATCAAGGGAGTCTGCAAACAACAAGCAGGGATGTCCTTCGCCATGTGCTTAACTCGTGCTATCTTTTTCCGGGACTGGAAGATTGCTTCGCCTGTGCGGGCTTCTATGCCTGACTTGTCCTTGATCTGGATAGAGCCTGTGAGGATTTGTCCTGGTTTGCAGGATGGGTCATGTGCGATGCGCACGGCAGTTCCACCATGTTGCCATCTTGTCAGGAAGTTCCTAAGGACCAGACCAGAATCAACAAATGCTGTTTTCATGGCACTAAATGCTCCGCTATATAATCCCCTATATAACCCCCTTAAGGAGTCTAGACTAGTAGCTCACATGGCTCCATTCTAGACATGCATTCTCCTTAAGGTAAAGTGCCCTTCGGGCAGTAGGGAAGGGCAGTCGATTTCCAAAGCCTTGCCAAGCCCTCATTGCCGGCAGGCTCCGAAAACCCCCTACGGCGAGCAGGTCGGATTATGCTGCTGATACTTTGGGTGATCTACCCCTCGAATTGTGACTACAAAGATAATGGCAGCCATTTCGTGGTTCCTCTATATTTCTACCATGTCACTATCAAGAGTTTTGGCCTGGTGGAGGAGAGCCTGACCTTTTTTGATAGTGAGCCAAGTACTTGTATCGTAGCTGCCAAGTTTCAGAAATCGATGAAGAAGGACAGCAGTAGACTTGCAGCAGTAGCAGGAGAGCAATGGTCAACGTCATAGTGTAATACCCTGGTGATAGTGATTGCCGGTTATGCTCAGGGAGGTAACAGCAGTGGTGATGTGATCACTCTTGCATCGGCAGATTGACACACTTCATGGAGCGATCAGAGACAGACTTTGCAGCAGGACCCTATGGAACTGATGAAGCAGCTGCTTCCGACCCAGCTTTAAGTTGTGGAGGAAAAACATCGATACTTCCAGTTAGCATGCCACTCGCTGTGTTGTGACCAGTCTTTGATTATAGTGCGTCATGTGCGGCGAACGTACCTGGACCACACCTGAAATCACCAATCCAGCTCCCACAACTTACTGGCTGTAAGTACTGAGTGGAAAAGATGATGGACACTACTTTCGTGTTGAGGTTTATATACAGGCTACAAAGAGGGATTCATTCCTCCACTGCGTGCCCAAAACCCCAAAGCCCCAAAAATGAGCTAGTCATATGGGGGATTATACGGGGGAGGGCTCTTGAGGGGGATTCTAGGAGCTAAGACTACAACTTAGATGGTAGTTTCCATCTCTTGTCCGTTCCCTAGGTGGCCAGAAAGACCCTAAACCCTAAACCCCAAAACCCCTAAACCCCTAAGGACCTAAACCCCTAAACCCCTAAACCCTAACCCACTTAGGTTTGGAGGCGATTTTTCCAACCCGCCAGGCCTGGGTCTCGGGTTTGGGTTTTTTGGGTTTAGGGTTGACGCTGGGTTCAAGCTTTGGGGTTTAGATCTGAAGGGTTTAGGGTTGAGGGTTGATTCAGAGTTTAGATCTGTTCTTTGTGGGTCTGCAGTAGGGTCAGGATATCATTGCATGTGCGATGCATGCCGGGAAAGCTTGTCTCAAAGGGTTCAAGCAAAGAGCAAGTATCCCGGCTTTGTACTTGTTAGCTTCCTTGGTAAGAAGATGTAGAGCTACAGCGTGGGCACCCGTAGCCCCATGCATTTTCGAAAGTAGAAACTTGCTACCATGCTTTCCTTTACCCATGAACCTCCAGGTCCCGCTGCCGCTGAGATGTTTCGTGGTGATAAACCGTGACTTAAGATGGAACTGCAGGGCATGTTCTACATCATAGGACAGGTGAATGTCTCTGGAGGGGGAACTACTTGGACGACGCAGTGGTCGACTAATGCGAGAGTTAACAGCCTTGCATGCTGGATACGCCTAGGCAGTGGGAGAAGCCCTAAAAGCCTAAGCCCTACATCGCACCCCTGCATGCTGAGGCTAAATGGGAGGGAAAAGCCCCATTGGAAGCTCAAACCCTGAAGTCACAACAGTTCTCCCTTAGTGATTGAAGGGTAGGGGAGTGGATTCCTGTCACAACCCCCAAGTATTCCCAAAAGTAGTATCTCTATCCACACCCCCTTCAGCACCAGTAGGTTCTGTGATATCTGAGGTGGGCCCGGCCAGGCACGGGTCCAAGCACATGTTTTGTCAGGATCATCCAGTTTCAATGCTTAAGCGGAACCCTTAGCACCCTGGGATTGAGTTGCGCTAGAGCCCTTTCGGAACGCAGGAGTATGATCTGTTGAGGAAAAATCATTTGCAATTTGTCATGCAAGTGTGGAGGTGATCCGATGTGATCCGTATATGCCTATGTATGGTAGTGCGAAGTGCATTTTGCCCCATTGAGGGTGCTGGTTCTGTCACTCAACTTCCTCACAATCTCTACATAATCTCTATAATTCCCTCTGCCAAAGCAGGTTTCAAAGGAATTCCCGTTTTAATTCGTATTACAGGCTTATCTATTCGATTTTGCATTTACATCAATCGTCATTTATCGTCCCTCAGAGCCAAACCCAACCAATCCGCAGAAAAAGAAAGTGTGAGAGGGATAATGGAAAATAACATGGAAACTAGTACATTATAGTAGGGAATACATAGGGGTTATTTAGGGATGATCTTCTCTTATTCCCTACTAACGACCAGTAAGGCCGCCAAGGCGCAAGCACGTATGCCTTTAGTCCCCTTCCTTTATCTGCCTTTCGCACGAACCCACCCCCGAACCCCATTTTGCCATGTTCTACAACGGGCCAGTCTGTTGAGCGGAGAATAGAAGTTTTTGAAGACATTTGATCGGGAGGCAGGATTGCCAGTGAACAGAACACTCTTGCTTGCAAAGACCTAGATTATGTTTGTGAAGGTTTTTGCAGGATGTCAGGGCTTGCGAGGAATTGTAACGGTTTTGACCGCAGGTTACGTGGGTTTTGCAAATTGACGCATCTGCTTCTGTGAGTGACTTTAAAAAAGTCGACATTATATGTGTACATATATGTATATGCACCTATACCTACGTCCTACGTGTTTCGGAAGATGAGGGGGGGGGGGGCAACATTTTGAGTGCAGCAGGATAGCACCCCTTCATAAAACCGACTTCGTAGAGGCTGATGAGCTGCTAGTGTCTTGCATTCTTCAGGAGAAGAGGCGGTATCTCAGTGGTTTCTTCTGGGTAGAGGTAAGCACCAGGACATGTCAGGGCTTCAGGATTACAGCCATGAGTGGGCAGCTCTGTCAGCTCAGGAGGGCATGGAAAGTGGCGCCCTCAGTATGGAATATGGTTTGAATGTTTGCCGTTTTGAAGATTGTGAGGAACCTTCCTCTTTTTCCACAAGCCATCTCATCTCTTAGAGCTGCTTGTTGTCATAGCACATGCCATGGCTGAGTCCGAAGGCTTGGACGACCTGGCGCGCTTGCGCCAAGAGCGCGCTGCGGCCTGGAGAGACGCAATGGCAGCCGAAGCAGCGCCACAGCCAGAGACACGAGACAACACCGAAGAGTCCCTGCCAAAGAGCACGGCGACCACAGACGGCACACCAGAAGTGCGGCCGGCAGGCGAAACCGCAGTGCAGGGCGAGGGGCTGCCGTGCTGCCGGATCTGTTTTGAGACTGCAGAGACTGCTGAGACGGGACGGCTCTTCAGCCCCTGCAAATGTACAGGGAGTATGCGGTTCGTTCATGTAGCCTGCCTGAACAGCTGGCGGGCGGCCTCGTGCAACGACAAATCCTACTACCGGTGTGACGCCTGCCACTACGAATATCGCCTGCAGCGCCTGTGGCTGGCGGATATGCTTCTCAATCCAAGTTTTCAGAAGGCTCTTACAGTCTGCGTTTTCCTTGTAGGGGCCTTAGTTGGCGGCCTGGTCTGCTATTTCCTGGCGCCGTGGTTAGTCGATTGGGCGCTGGATCATCTGCGGCTTCCACCGTCTGCACGCTTCCTCTTCACCGAGGGGGAGACCCAGGGCAATCCAGCCTGCTGGACCGGTGGCTACACATACAGGCGGCAAGGACTCCTATGCAACCTAGGCTAGTTCTAGGTAGGTTTTCACCTGCTTGATTAGGGGTGGACTCTCGAACACGATTGTTACGTGCAGGCTTTGCTGCGGTCGAGGGCGTCCCGGAAATCCCCAATGCTGGGACGATGTGCACAGCTTCGAAGGCTGCTGCGAGGGACCCCATCATCTTCTCCGCTGGCTGCAGGCCTTCTTGGTGCGACCGCTACGGGTCCTGCTCTGCGGAGGTGCGCCGCAGCATGATCTAACGCCCCTTATCACACCTCTCGTCTAAGAATGCCCAGACATCTCCCTTGCAGGGCTCTTTGCCCGAATAATACGTGCATGCTAGCAATGGCCTCCCCGCCTCAAATGAACATAATTATCCCAGCAGTGTATCTTACATACTCGTGGAAGATATGGAGGGTAGCGTATAAGGGCGGGGTGATGAAGTACCTGTGGTGCTAGGAGCCCCATGAGGCTGTAATTGATGCAATCAAGTCCTGCACCCTAAGCCCTGACAATCCAGTAGTCCCCTCCCCGTAATATGAAACCCCCCACCCCCACTACGTTAAATATTCTCCGTGGCGGTATATTGCAATACATTGGGCGTATTTTGCTATTAGGGGGGGTTGGGGAGGTTTAATATGCAGGGGCAGGGATCCCTAGACCCTTCACCCTAAGCCCTAAACCCTAATCCAATAGAACCCCTGAGGCATGGGTCTGGCAGCCGTTGGCTTTGCCTGCTACCTACGCAGGCAGTGGACAGAGGCCTGGGGCCACGAAGGCCTGGGCTAACATGGGCCGTTTTTGGGTTTGGGGGCTTTAGGGGCTTTGGGGTTTTAAAGGGGCTTTTAGGGGTTTCAGGGATTTTTAGGGGTCTTAGGGGTCTTAGGGGTCTTCGGGGTTTGAGGGGCTTTAGGAATTTTAGGGGCTTCAGGGTCATAGGATTGTCTTTGAACAGGGAGCGGGGGTCCTGACTTCGCGAGTTGCTGAGACAGCGACCCCTCCATGAAGCTATGACTGTCAGTTGCTTTTTGGTCCCGCTTAAGTAGACAGAATGTGGCTTTGAGTATACTATCTCAAAATACGATGCCCATATACCCCTAAACCCTAAACCTTAAACTCACAAGTAATAAGATCCCCATACACCCCATATTCTATCTACTTAAGGGAGGGCTCTACGCCCAGCTGAGGCGGTGCGTGGCAAATCGGAATGCTGGTCGCATATCTTTCATCCTTCGGGGCTGCTGCTTGCCCAGGGTATATATTGAGTTTATATAGGGATAATGGAAAAGAACATGGAAAGTACTATAGGGTTGAAGGTTTAGGGTTTAGGGCTAAAATTAGGGTTATAAAGGGATAATGGAAAAGAACATGGAAACTACTATAGGGTCTAAGGTTTAGGGTTTAGGGGTAGTATTGGGGTTATATATAGGGATAATGGAAAAGACAATGGAAACTACAAGGATTATAGGGATTCTATAGGGATTGGTTTCAGAAGGGGTCTCTACCTCCCTAATGTAGACCCATGATTAATAAAGGGGTATATAGGGGTTATATAGGGATAATGGAAAAGAACATGGAAACAACTATTTAGGGTTAAGGGTTTAGGGTTGTAGACTCATGATTAATACACCCTCTCCTTTTAAGGGCCTGAAAACAAGGGATCCTTATTATAGTTTCTACTCAGGGGAGGGGGTTTATTCATCAGGGGTTTGGGTTACCCTTTGCCTAAGTGTTGTGAGCAAGAATATTTCTCAGGCTTTAAACTTTAAACCCTAAACCCTAAGTCCAAAATTCTGAAGCCGCAGCGTGCTCATGCTGGCGAATTGCCCAGGCATAAGCAGGCACAGTTGCAGCATGTAGGCACGTATCCAAACTTCTTCGTTGTGGGGCCGTCTTGGGTTCACATAGGGAGCTTTGAGGGTATGTCATTAGTTCAGTGCTGACCTGAAGTATAAACCTGGTCAGAAGTCATGATTGTCATTCCACTTTATCCGCCAACCCACCCCCCCCCTTCCAGACAGTACAGCTCATGAGGAAACAAGGACCCATACTAAAGCCCCAGCATCCCCTCAGAGACCCCGAATGAATCTGGGGGATCCCAGAGGTCACCCTTAAACCCTGGAAACCCTATGGTGCCCCTTAAGTAGATAGAAGATGGCTTTGGGTATATTCTAATACTATATATATATATATATCTATATATATATATAGATTTCATATTTTATCTACTTAAGGGGGACTATAATCCCAAAACCCTGACCCACCCTAAACCCTCGATTAAGCAAAGGCTTTGGGACGCTTGGTGGCGGTGGTTGGCTCGGCCGTGGCATTGAAGGAGCTCTTCCTGGTGCTGAGCCCACACTGCCACGCGGTTTTGTCACGTTTGGGGTTTAGGGTTTGAGGGTTTAGGATTATTTAGGGTTTAGGATTGTTTCGGGTTTGGTGCTTAGGATCATTCAGGGTTAAGGGATTTAGCCTTCAGAGTTTCTTTGAAGATTGCGCTCTTTGTTGTTTACATTTCAAGGCTTCATACACCTTGTAGCAGGATGCCTGCTAGTGTTCCGTTGTCCAAGAGTGCAGCGGGCCAAGGCAAACGATTGGCAAGCAGCGCTGGGGAAAGGATTTTGGAGGTATGCTGAGCAAAGAAGCGTGTGTCCAAAAAGCCGCAGCGCCCAGATCCCTTGCAGGATGGAACATGGCATCCAAGAAAGTTAGAGGCTGGAACCAGACGCAATTTCTACATGACCGCTGTGGAGTTATTCATGATTAAATAAGCCCACCTCAAAACCTTGTTCTTATTGCTGAGGCCCAGGCCTCGGCAGGAACGGTCATGGAAAAACTAAGGGGCGTTATTTTTGATTCTCCTTGGGCAGAATGGGGGGAGAGAAGCGCTAACAACCTTGTTGTTACAGGGCCCTCAGAAACTTACATGCTGATATAGGTAGACTACCCATCGGGCAGCCCAGCAGAACAGCCTCCCATTGGGCAACCAGCAGAGAAAAAATTCTGTCAACGCAAAAGGCCGCCCCTGTACTGTAAAGACATTGGGGATCTCTGCCGAGATCCCTTCGCCAGCCTCATGGGCGCCGGGGGACAGCAGAAGAAGAAGGTGGGGCGTCGGCCGGATGAGGGGGTGAACGGAGTTTGGTGTTCATGGTCACGAAGTTACATGGTACATGAACACATACAGGATATTTTGGGAAAAAAGAGATTTCAATTTCGCTTGGTACGGATGCTGTGATTCTGTGGCAGTAGTATCAATAGAAGGAAGAGAAACCCAGCATGTGTGATAGATGCAGGTCTACTGGTATGACACAGCGTGGTCAGACAAATGTGCTAGAAGTCTGTGGATTGCTCGTGTGATCTTCCTGGCATGTTGAAGTGGGATCCGTGTATGTCTACCAGGCTCTGGCTGCATCGCAGGGTTAGTCCGTGAGTCCCTTCTTCTGGAGAAATGCCCCCGACATGGGGGGCTGTGCCTTGTGAGATATGACCACATGTACTATAGTCCAAACTCCATAAAGCCATAAATGGTGTTATATAGGTAATTATATAGGGGAGTATTATAGGGGCCAGTATGGGGGATATTAGGAATCTAGACTATAGCCCACCTGGCTGCATTCTTGGCTGGGCCTGCAGACCTCCGACAGTTTCTTCACGGACAAGGTAGCGGCCCTCAGTCCCGCAACCGGCAGCTGTCCTTAGGCGGAAGAGTGAAGGAAGCCTAAACCTCATATTAGGGTATATTAGGGTTACATTGGGGTTGTACTGGGATAATGGAAGATAAAATGGAAACTGCTATTTAAGGCTTGGGGGGTTTAGGGTCCTCGAGTGCTTAGGTAAAAACTCAATCATAGTCCTCCTGTCAGTCTGTCAGTGACTTTTTCTTCCATCTTGTACCATTGCTGACCATGAGCCCCGAAGCCAAAGCCCTACAGCAGCGCTTGCCAAGTTTCCTATCCTCCAGAAGCTTAAGCGACCGGTGCCAGTCACTCAGAAGTGCAGTCTCCGCAAGAGGTTCCAGCTGCGAAAGTAGCAGCTGTGCCTAACCTCCGCAAGGCCCTGGAGGGGCTGTTGGTTAGCCAGGAATGACCGAACGGATCCTTTTGGTAGTCCCTATACAACCCATTATAGTAGTTTCCATTTTCTTTTCCAACCAAAGGCCAGTGGAGGGTTGGAGCTTCTGAGGGAGGGGCGTGGTTTGCATGCGGGGTCGGCTGTATTGGGCACAGCTCACCAGCGCGCTGAGGCTGGTCGCCTTTTTCCTCTACTGCTTCCACAGGGGATGGGTTGGGCTGGTGCCTGAGAATTTCATCCAGATAGCCATGGGATTCCCCGAAACGAGCTTTTCACAGTAAATGTATTATGTTACATTATACTACATTATACTATACTGTACTATACTATGCTATACTTGCTATAAATTACAATACAATCCTATACGATACTATACGATACTATGCTATACTAAACTGTACTAGCCGCATCCTTGCAAGGAATCCCGAAGGTCTGTCATGCCTGTGTAAGCCCTGCACCAAGAGGCGCTGGGGTCTGCTAAGTGGGATGATGCCGCGACCTGAGAGTTGAGAACGCCTGCTACAACTTGAAAGAGAATACGGTGGATACTAGAATTCCTGCATGACCCTAAGTGCCTTGTAGCTTGGGACTTATGGTGCTATGGTGATACATTGGAGTGAATCTGGCTTGAACACTCGTTTGACGGCCTAAAAGGCACAGCAAGCCATCAGCCTTCACCTCATCCATGTCCTCTACGCCCTTCCTATTATCCCTATATAACACATTATAGGAGTTTTCATTTTCTTTTCCACTATCCCAATATAACCCCAATGTACTATGGTAGCTTCCAGTTTGTTTTCCGTTATCCCCAATAAACCCATTGCCCCTGGTACCCCACAGAGCCCGAAGACCCGATCCCTGAGCCCTCATGACAGGGCTGGCTCGTATTTCGACATGCTGGCGGTGCCGCTTCGTGTGCTCGACAAGTCCCAACCTCAAATGGTTCCGATGAAAGCAGGTCGTGGCTTGGTCGTGTCAAATATTTCTTGGCGTGAGAGCAAATGTCCGCAGAGCCCTACTTATCACGTGAAGAAAGCGGCTCAGGTCTGCAAGGTTTAGGGTTCAAGGCGCGCAAGGGCATGCGAATGTCTCTGAGCTTCTGGTGTTGCAAGCGAGCCCGCTGGCGAATTGCGCTGATGAACTTGAGCATTCAGCCCACGGCCGCCAGCTGAGGAGTCCGTGCAAGGGCCGCGCCTACATTGTCACCCA